ATTATCATGGGCTTATTTTTCACCCCACCACTATTCTTAGCAACAAAGGTCACCATTTCGTTTGTTTGTTACTCGCCAAAAACAATCAAATGCACTCAAAAGCCTAAAATCGAAAAAATGTTTAAAGGAATCGACCTATCGAGCGAGCGAGCGAGCGAGTGCCATTCTCCACATCATATCTACAACTCGCTCTTGCGCATGCGCGCAATTCACGAGTTAAAAAGTGATATTGTACCTTTACAACTTGATCCATCTCCAGTGAATCCATGTTTACAAGTACAGCTATAAGAACCCTCATTGTTGGTACAATCAGCGTTTTCGTCACAAGGACGTGACTCTACTGAACACTCATCGATATCTGATATGAGAGAAAAAGGGCGAGAGGAAAGTAGGATGGTGGAACATTTTTAGTACAATACGCGTTTATGCGTATAATTTGAACGCTACGAGTAGGTCTGAAAGAGAACAAATAACCGCCTAAGGATGGTTAATATCTCAATAACAATCAGATTCGCTCTTTTTCACCCTATTGCAACAATTGAGTAAAAAAGATTATTTTGACTACAGCTGGTCGCCTTTGCTAAACCGAGCTTACGTCTAGCGAAGAGTCATCCACTAAATATTATATAATAAGCTCAGTTATGCACGCATTCTGATTGGTTCTCACTTATGATCTATTGGAGGACAGACGTATAGATGACGTCATCATTCAAACTTTTTTCACAGATGACGTCACAAAGGGGTAAGAACATCGGTGACACACTCGGCTGCGCCTCGTGTGCCACTTTTTTGTTCTTACCACATTTTGACGTCATCTGTAATCTATTACTGAACAGACGCACGGCAACTTGGAATCTATTTGTTAAATGTAACCATCTGGATAAGTCAGGTCACCTTGGCAGTATGTTCCGTTTCCTGTGTATCCTTCCTTGCAAGTGCAATTGTATGAGCCGTCAGTGTTATTGCACGCAGCGTTCACATCACACGGACTGCGATCGGCCAAACATTCATTGATATCTGAAACGGTGTAGAAAATGAATTTAAGAATATTTTTCATGTAGACTTGTAGTGATTAGAAAAATAGGAGAGAAAAACAATTACCGACGAAGCAATCTCTATTATAAAATTAATGATAATAAATAAAACACGATTTACATAGCATCAATTGCAAGCGCTTCACACAATGAAAGAGAGGAAAACAGATATTTCAAATAAACATAAAGTGCTTGAAAATCTTAACTGTTAGGAGGTAGACCAGTTGGTTATTTATCTACACATACAAGTGAAGGATTTTTTTTTATTGACCGCTCTACATTTTACGTTATGTGTCGCTGGTTAAACCTTCAAAAAATGAAAAGCAATGAAAATTAAAAAAAATGGACTTTTCTACCTGTGCATGTTTCTCCATCTCCTTCAAATCCAGGAAGACAAGTGCACTCATATGAGCCTTTGATGTTCAAGCAGAATGCATTATCATCACAGGGATTAGTGGAACACTCATCAATATCTAATGAAGAACAAATATAAAAAATTCGATTATACTATGCAACAGCTTGAATTGAATACTGGCGGGGGTGACTCTATGATTTGTCTTTGCCTATATATTTGTCTGCGTACTTTAGTCGAGTTTTCAATCCTTTACACCCTAACATCAGTGTGCTTGTTCTCAACACTTTTCTCTATACATTTTCTCAGATGCCGACCGCGAGATTTTGTTTAATAATCAAGACCTTCTTTAGTAGGTGATTATTTCCTTCATTCTCGTGACTAGATGCTAGTTACTCTCAAGGCTCAAGGGGTTAAAACATATAGTCACAAAAAAACATTTCTTTCAGTGAATATCTCTGCAGATTGATCCGTTTCCAGTAAATCCTATCCTGCAAGTACAGATCGAGGAACCGATGGTGTTGACACAGTCCGCATTTTTGTCACACGGATTTGAAATCACACACTCATCAATATCTATCAAAAACAAAACATTTTAATATTTTCTCATCATTTTTGTTTTGTTTTGTCTTTTTTTTATTGCCATCAGGCGTTTGTTCTCTTCACACAAAAACGGCGGATTTTCTTGCATTATGTAACATTATAAATGAATGTATTTACAACTAACAAGAATAACGACGTAATTGACAAGATAAATAGATAAATAAATAAGTACCCCACCTGTACATGTTTTTCCATCTCCTTCAAATCCAAGAAAACAAGAACAATCGAAAGAGCCATTGGTGTTCAAACAGGTTGCATTAGCATCACAAGGATTTGTTACGCACTCATCAATATCTGAACAAAAATAGAGGAATAACTTTTATTTTAAAGGCGGAGTCAAATTGGTTCTCTTTATCCTCCCTTTCCAACACCTTGATCATACTGAAAAACAATTTACCTCTCTCTTCTCTCTCTCCCCCACTTATCTATCTACTTTCCTTACACCAAATTTCTCAAGTTATAGATGCGTTTGATACACAGGTCATCCTTTACCTTCGTGGAACTTCTTTGACTCGAAAAATGAAACACTGTGAAGTGATTTCACCGCGTAGCATTCACAAGGTAATTGATGACTCTAATCAAAGCCCCCATCAATTACGTCTAACGCAACTAGAAACAATTTTTGGCTTTGTAACAATAGGCGGAAATTCAACAAGGCAACTTACCATTACAGACTATCCCACTTCCTGTAAACCCGTTTTTACAAGTGCAATTGTACGATCCGTCTTCGTTGGAACAAACCGCATTTTCGTCACAAGGGCTGCCATTCTTTGAACACTCGTCAATGTCTACGTTCCAGCAAAAGAAGTAAAGAGATCACGTAGTTTACTTAAAAGCATCTTATATTAAGAACTAAAATAATACCAAATTAAATACCAGCACAGGATGTTCCATTTCCAGTGAATCCTTTTCTGCAGGTACAGACAAATGAGCCATTTGTGTTTTTGCAGTCAGCGTTTTTATCGCACGGATTGGAGATCAAACATTCGTCAATATCTAGAAAAGACAAGAATCGTCACCTTCGTAACATTCCTAGTGCTGAGGAAGGTGTGTAAGGAGATTTGACAGACAAACTGAAGTAAAAAAGAAATTTTTGTCACGGGTAAGCGTTCTTCTTACCTTGGCAAACCTTGCCATTTCCATCAAAACCAGGACGACAAGTACACTCGAAGGAACCGTTTGTGTTAGAGCACACCGCATTGACATCACAAGGATTGGTTGTGCACTCGTCAATATCTATAAAAGGTTTTAATACATCAAAGTTAACTGTTTCTTTGACAAAGCAGTTTCTTACTGTGATTGAAAAAAGGATTTTAAGTCTAACTTCCGCGAACACTTGAATAAGGTAAGCCTTCTCTTAGTGACCTTCTTCTTACCTTGGCAAACCTTGCCATTTCCATCAAAACCAGGACGACAAGTACACTCGAAGGAGCCGTTTGTGTTAGAGCACGCCGCATTGACATCACAAGGATTGGTTGTGCATTCGTCAATATCTGTAGAAGGTTAAAAAATACATCAAAGTTAACTGTTTCCTTGATAAAGCAGTTTCTTACAGTGATTAACGTAAGGATTTTAAGTCTAACTTCCACGAACGCTTGGATCAGGGAAGCATTCTCTTAGCAGAAATTACTCTCGGTCTCAGCCTTCTGGATATGAGATGAAACTTCAATAGTTGCTCAGGGAAAGAAAAGTGTTCCTCACAAACGTGAGAAGAGCGTTTGAAATATAAAATATCTCCAACTCGTTCACCAGTGACCTACTTCTTACCTTTGCAAACCTTGCCATCTCCATCAAAACCAGGACGACAGGTACACTCAAAGGAGCCGTTTGTGTTTAAGCACGCCGCATTGGCATCACAAGGATTGGCTATGCACTCGTCAATATCTATAGAAAGTGAAAATACATCAAAGTAAAGTGTTTCCATGGCAAGGCAGTTACTTCGTGGATGACAAAAAGCGATAATGTCTAACTTCCACGAACACTTGGATGAGGCAAGCTTTCTCTTAGCAGAAATTACTCTCGGTCTCGGCCTTCTGAATATAGGATAAAAATTCAATAGTAACACAGGGAAAGGAAAGTGGTCCTCAGAAACGTGAGAGGAGCGTTTAAAATGTAAAATATCTACACGTCTTTCACAAGAGGCCTACTTCGTACCTTGGCAGACCTTGCCATCTCCATCAAAACCAGCCTTACATCGACACGAAAAACTTCCATCGGAGTTTGAACAATTGGCATTGACATCGCAATCGTTAGATCCTGTCTCACATTCGTTAATGTCTGTGATAAGAAAATTTTTAAAAAAGGTAATTTGCAAATCATTCTAGAAAATCAAGATGCAACTGTGTAAAATGATATAACTATTCACAACATCATACATACGTCTCTGTAATCTTAAGTGTTTTTTAAGCCAATCACATAATAAAGCATCACTAACAAGAAGAGTAGATCACGTCTGCATACGTGACCGCTGCAGTTAGCACAGCGGGTTTCGAGTGATTAGCTAAATGCTAATTCTGTGCGGGTAACCTATCGAATCTCCTCACGTTCCCGTGAAAGATGACTAGCATCAATTTTTGCTACTTTGGCACTTCAAGAGGAAAGTTTCTTGACAAACAATATCATCCAAAGATCTCGACCAATGCTCGAATTAGGACCTTTCGATCCGGAGACCGGCGCGCATGGCATTCAGCCGTCCTATAGGCACGTAAGTTCAAGGGTGGCCTGTTCTATCATCAATGCAGAACAAAAAGAGCAACCATAGGTCAAACACTTTGTCGTGACGCGATTAACTTCTGTGACTTCTCCATTTCTGCATTTACGGGGCGCCCACACGCAATTCCACCAGACTGCAGAATCACACAAAACTGGTGAGTCTTTCTCCGTTCTGCGGACTGCTCTACAGACAAGAAAGTCAGTGGGAAGGTTAAGTCTCGGTCTTCATATCTTACCAGAACAATTCCCATCAAGTTCTTCTTTGAATCCTGTGGAACACTGGCATTGGTATGAACCATCTGTATTGACACATTCGGCACCACTTCCGCACGTTACATTAAAGATGAAACACTCATCGATTTCTGAAAAGGAGGATGTAAAACTTTGTATTTGTTCTATATACTTTCTGAGAAAAACGATTATCGAGCCTTTTGTTAATGCAAAAAACCTTTGCACAGCTGAAACGAAGGTTAACCACCCCCGTACTTAAATCTCTCACTCTCAAGTTGTCAATATCATTTCTTCACACTGTTTGCTACAGATAATCTGTTCAGAGAAATTGGTGAAAAATGAAAAGATACCCCTGGGTTGATATTTGCCATTTTTCTCGTCAAATGTTTACTCTGGAAAAAAAGGTCGAAACGAGTACAGAACACAGTTTTTATCTGACCACGTGCTTTTTTATCAACTTGACGAATTATTGAATTGCAAGGAAAAATCCCTTCGCTTCCACCGGTGGTAGTGAAAGGGGTCAACATGTCAACATTTCAAGCTAACTAAAGCTAATTTGTTTCATTTCTTTTTTCCCGCATCGTTCAAATTGTTCGTCTAATTGGCAAAAAAAGCTCTGAAATATAAACACTGATAAAAGAGGTAAAGGGAAAAGGGCAGAAAATTAGTATACTGTAAACCAAAGAACCAGTGAGAATGGATAAGAAAGAACAGGGTTTCAGATTAAGAAAAAATTCAGTCTAATTTTCGCAAGACGAAGCACCGAAGATGTGTAGTACACAAATTATTTCGCCCGTGAGAAGCAATTTATAAGACCATTAAACGTTTTACTACAAAGCTGGCTTGGCGGGCAAGCAGTTCTTTGCTGGTGTAATTACTATTTGTCTTGTGAACATTATTATTATTATTAAAAGGCAAAACTCACTATTACGTCTTTAGACAGTCAAAACACCACGAACCCACGACAAGGGTCTCTAAAAATCACCTACACTAAAGTGAAATCTTTTTGGCAAGTGACACCTCTATACACCATCCCGTTCGATGAAGATGGCTGGATACAGGATAATATTTTATCTATTTATTTGTTTGTATTTTTGCGCCCAAAAACCTCGATTTTGTCTCAAGAAAAAAAAAATAAAATAAAAAACGCACAACTTGGCTGATATTCAGCCACATTGACCTAACGGTTAGTCAATAACGCCTATGTATAGCAAAAGTGGCCTTTAGAAACGAGCGGCACACAGACCACACAGCCCTTGAAAAGTGAAACCTAAGGGGACCTCAAAGCCGGTTTAAGTTTCCTTCCGTCAACATGTCATTTTGAAACGTGGCCAAAAAATTGAAACCAGAGGGGCAACACCGAATGTTGCAAAATAACAAAGTTAACATTACCGCATCATTTTTTTAAAGGGCAATCGACCTCATCAACAGAACTCTTCAAAGTAACGCTACTGAGGACTTCAACATCATTTAACCCTTCCTCTTAAAACCGCTAATCCTTTTTCCGATTCGTGTTATGACAGCCTATGGCTATGAATCAGTCTAGTGCTAATCTTGGTGCGCGACAAAGACTCATGAAGTTTTAAGCTTCTTTAACTGGATGTCTTGTCTCTGCTTAATCATTACTCTCTGAATTTAAGTCGATGCAACTCTAGTTGTAGTAGGTAGGTTCTGAAAATAGAAGACTGAATCAACATTGACAAAATTATCGCCAACTTTCTGTTTCTGTTGGAGATCGATGGAGACTTTGGAATGCGTTAGCTATAATATCTCAATGAGACACACACCAAACTAGGCAAGAGTGTTTACATCGCTATGAACCAGGTAGGCTTCAAAGAGAATTAACCAGAAGCGAGACGCGAACAGTTGCAGAAGATTCATTGTGAGAACTGCTGTATGAGTTTCTAAATGACGGACAGTGGGTCTATCGCAAAGCACTTCAAAGTCAATTTGGAGTCGGATATTCCACAATAAAAAATGCAAACATTGCGTCTGCTATTTTCCTCTTACCAGCCGTTCTGCGGTTAACCGAAAAAAGTCATGCGCCCACAATAAAACTTCGCAGCACGCTTCCTGATTTGTAAAACTGTTATTGTTTTGTGGGGGAGGGGGGAGGGGGGAGGGAGGGGAGAAATTCAAGCTGGCCATAGACCAGAGTAAAATTTCTTTTATCGATAATGCACGAAATGAAGATAACCACGCAGATGAAGTAGGCGAGAGAGCGCTCGAAATGTATTTCGAAGTTTCCGAAAGCCGGTTTTTGCAACCACTTCAATCGAACTAATTTTCAACAATCGAACGAGTCGAATGTCAACGAATGTCCAGCGAAATCTTTTTGAAAGAGGGCCGGTCAGAGGAAAACATGGAGCCGCAAGTATTTCGCATGGCGGATTAAAGAGGAAAGAGAAGAGATGAAGGAAATGGAAAGAGAAAGCGTAGAATTAAGTTGGAGACAGTTTTATTTCATCCATTGATGTCCCACCATTCCCCGCCTACCTTCCAAGTGTTTTTTTTGTACCTGTACAATTGATTCCGTTGCCTCGAAAGCCATCTTTACAAGTGCAGTTGTAGGAGCCATCCGTGTTATTGCACAGAGCGTTCTTGTCACATGCTGTAGGGTCTCGCTCACACTCATTAATATCTGTAATCATCAAAAGTAAACACAGTCATTATCAGGGTCTTTTCAAAACAGATAAACCATTTGACCTTGCAATGTTTGAATCAACGTAAACTAATTGTATAATCATTAATTAATTTATTAATGGTGGGCCGATAGCCCGTTTAAGATTAAGTGCCTATTTCAGGCGTTCAGATCGGAATCAGTAAAGAAATAACCGGTGAGCCGCCGCGAAATATATGGTAAATGGCCTTTATCCTTTTTTCTTCCAACGTTTTCCTCGCTCCGCCGTATTACTTCGGCGCTGCATACTTACTGTGCGTCAAGAACAAGCTAGTTAATAAAGCCGAGAAAAGGACCTTGTGCGCGACCTTCCATTCAATTAAGCTTGTGGCAAGGCGTCAGTTTGCATGAGATTTTCCAGTTACGACCACTCTGTCGCTTATTGAATTCTAAGTGTTCGAAATTTGTATCTTTTATGAGTAGGGTTATCGTCTGTTTCGCGGAGGAATTAAAAAAACCAACGAGTATAGGAACGCTAAAGGGTAGATTTTGTACACAACGTGACATCAAGCAAGACCACCGCGTCCCAATTAAGATCATGTTGAAGTTGTCAATTTATCTTCAATCGACGATAGTTTTATAGTTACCTTTACAACTTGTTCCATTGCCTGTAAAACCAGCCTTACAAGCGCAGGTAAAGGAGCCCTCGGTGTTTCGACAATCAGCATTGACATCACACTCAGTCAAATCCGCAACACATTCATCAATATCTAGATCGAACGAAATGGTTAGCTTTACAATGACGGTGGGAAACCGGAATCGCTGGAATCTCTGCTTATTCCCAAGTGACAGACAAGTGATGAAAAACTATTGTCGACACTTGAAAATTTTCATCCGGCGCCGGAGTGCAAATCGTTCTTCACCTCCTGGTTTGGAATTCCTTGTTTCTAGGGGGGGGGG